TTAAGGTTAAACACCTTAAATGCAGATTACATGGGAGTAAATATTGCAACTCTGTTTTGTGGTCAGATGAAACCAAAATAAAATTATTTGGTCACATGGACTCCCGTTATGCATGAAGAAAAGGGAATGAAACTCACTAACCAAAAATGCCCCCCTCCCCTACAATTAAGCACGGTGGTGGGAGCATTCTGCTCTGGGGATGTTTTGCTGTTTCTGGACCAGGAGAATTAGTGAGAGTACAGAGTATCATGGATAAAGAGCAATATTTGGCTATTCTTAAAAATAATATAAAACAAAGTATACGAAAGCTGTCTTTGGGGCATCACTGGACATTCTAACATGAAAACGACCTGAAACACACGGCACAAATACTTAGATGACAGCAAAATTAATGTAGTGGCTTACCTCGCACAAAGTCTTGACCTAAACCCCATTGAAAATTTATGGGCATATTTGAAGAAAAAAGTAAGACAAAAAAGTTCTTCAAATTTGGAGGAACTAGATGCTATTGGCAAGGAAGAATAGAGCAAAATACTTATCAGTGTGTGTAGTGATCTTTTAAGGAACAATCAAAAATGATTAAAAGGCAATGATCAAGAATAAAGGTTACACAATTGATTATTGAAACAAGGGAGCCAATAATTTATCCTATGTTAAATGTTTTTGGTGCTTTTTTTCTTATTGTTTAACATTAAAATAAAAATGTTATTGTGGGGCATCACTGCACATTCTTTTGACTAATATTTCATCATCTGTGAAAAAATGCACATGAAGGTTCCATGAATATTTGTGTTACAGTTTTATTCGTAATATGGAAATGAGTTTGAATAATTTTGTCCACAATTCACACACACGCACGCCCGCACACGCAGATATATATATATATATATATATATATATATATATATATATATATATAAAATAATTTTACAATATTTGGGGGCCGATTCATGACACCAAAAAAAAAAACCATATAATCATATGTCTGCCCTTCGTTTTCGAGTTAAGTTTAACGAAGATGTCCATTTAGACGAGGTGTACATTTGGGGTTAGTCTGTATTCAACGTGTGCCTTAGTGAGTTAACTGAGAATTGCGACGTTTAACAGTGGCAGGATATTCGTATCGTGAACAGGCACATATGAATTTTACATACAACCGCACGAATGGTAATGGACGCGAGTCTGTCGGCTGTCTGAGATTGCGTTTCCAGACAGAAGTCAGACGAGTCATCCAACCGTTGATGCTGTTTATCGTCGCGTTGCTGAGACAGGAACCTTGGCCACCACAAACCGACCACGAAGAATACATTGCACATGATGTCGGAGTCGACACATGAGTCAACAAAAGTCAAATGGCCATATATATATGTGTGTGTGTATATTTATGTGTATATATATATATTATACGTATTTTTATGTGTGCATATATATATTTATAATATATATGATGTATATATATAATATATAGAATATATAATATATATGATATTTATATATGTATGATATATATATATATATATATATATATATATATATATACATATATATATATATATATATATATATATATATATGTATGTATGTATGTGTGTACTGGAGATGCAAGTGCTATCACTTTTGTATTGTGCACACATTTTATCTCACTCTCACAGAAGTTTCCGTTGGCGTTTTTTTATGATTTTTTTTTTTATTTATAACTAAAAAAAGGGCACAGTGACACGACCATACAAAGCTTTCTGTTCAGCAGGTGTGCTGAAAAACTTGTTCAATGCCCGAAGTATCTACTTGAAGCTTGTGCAAGCTTTTCTTCACAATATTCCCCGATACTCGCCCATTGACATACGTGCTGCATCCGAACGCTCTACGCAGTACTCATGCGAGCCGTCGTCACAAGCACATTGTGACGCGACCAGGTATGTCGACGGCGATTCTCCCGTGCAACGCGACTATCAAACAATTCGATATTAGATCAGCCATTTTATCAATCGATAAGGAATAAACAGTGATTTGCAGATCTGCAGACTTTCCAATACAGCACAAGCTTCTATTTTAATTACAATCTCTGAGAATATGATGAGATAGATTGTTTTGACATGAATCTTATTACCAAATGGTTTTATCGTTGTAGGTGTGAATCTTATCTCTTGACGTGAAACTAGATTTATTTCACTGTGCGGTTTTGTACAACAGACACTTTGACCGGAAATAACCTGTGCCGATCTATATCGCGCACCCATACGTACATACACAAATACAAATCACATACAACGACAAGCATTCATTGGTTAATAAATCCCCACTACATTATTATAGACAATTTACAAATCGCAGCAATGCGACAATTTTGTAATCGCTCTATTTTCATGTAATCAATTTTGTGCACTTATGGGAGAATCGGATCCCAGAAGCTTTCTTAAGTCTCCCCAGAACTCGCTCGCTGATGCCAACCAATCAGATCGTCTGCACATGAAGAATAACTCTTTCCACGCAGCGATCTGGAGCCTATAGACACTTATATAAGCATGAAATTTTCTTAACTAATTAGTGAGAATTCAGCTGCCAAACGAATCCACGATAGTTGAAACCATGCGCCAAACTTCTCACTCACACCACCACTTACATGCTGAACATTCCTTATACACTCACATAATCTTTCCTTACACAGCAAATCTGAGAATAATTATTTCAAGAAACTCTCATAAACTTTCTTCCATTGAACTTTGAAATACAAAAATAATAGCTAAAGAGGGACAACTCTTGTTTTATTCAACCTTTTCTTACGTAAATGCATGCTTTCTTTCACATCGTTGTTTGATATTTGTACATCTTGTTAAATACATATTTTATGTGTAATGATGTCTTTTGCTTATCCTTTTCCACGTCAGTTTTGTTTCCTAATCTAAAGTTAAATTAATGTGTTGTGCCACAAACCCTTCTTCAAACTTTCATATTGCTGTAGTTTAAGCACTCCAGATCAGCAATAAAAAATAAATTATTAAATTTTAGGAATGTTAATGGAGGGTCAAGTTTGATATGTAAATTCATTGTAAATTGACTCGCCTATGAAAATCGAAACAAAATATGCTAATACCAGGTGGACTCTTGAATTGTTAAAAAAAAAAAAGAAGGAAATTTAGATATTCGTAATTTTGACATAAATATGCTAATCTAGTTAAAAGAGAAAATAATTCACTAAGATGAAAATGTTTAGAAAGTGTTTTAATCGCTAGTTCAGCCATAGTAATTTTGCATCCAGATTCTTACAATGTTTCACCATTCTTGGCAGATCTTCTGTTATCACAATGTGGAATATTTAATAACAAAGAAACGAAAAGAAAAATAATATAAATGGAATTGGCTAGCTTATATAGCCAAAGCACATCTTAAAAACAATTATTTTTTTCTAAATGTAAAATTCCCAGCGTCTCTCGTTCCTGCGCATGCGTAATCGGATCAGTGTACGTAAACAAACCTTGTCCAATGAAGTCCTAAAGGAAGAAACGCGTCACATGAAAACTTTTTTCACTTTGTTATACATCTTTCCTCACAAATTGTACTTGATATATAAAAATGTATACATTGTTATCCCAATCTGGAGATATATATATATATATATATATATATATATATATATATATATATATAATATGATTTGGCTTATAAATAGAGTAAATCATTTTTTCGAAGGTTATTCTGCATCGCTTGAAAATGGAAATGAATTTAAAATTTTAAGTTTAAGATTTAGGTTTTGGTTTCGAAATATGACAATTACTGTGTCGCAAAGGAATACATATTTTTTAAAAAAATTATAATATATATATATATATATATATATATATATATATATATATATATATATATATATATATATATTATTATTATTATTATTATTATTATTATAGTGGAACAAACGCTTCTCATCACGAACAAATCGGTTCACGATTATGATTATTTTCCATCCTGCAACCTCTCCCTCACAGACGAGCTGTCGTAAGCCTCTCACTACTCTTTCGCTACTTCCATGGAAAGTGCTCAGACGAACTGCATTCCTTAGTTCCACCAGTTCTAACCTTCGCGGCTAGGACCCGCCATGCCACTCACATTGTAACGAACCACCCTCATGTGTCTTGCATGATAGAAATGACAGAGTACCAAATATATTTATTATGTAACTAATATACAAAAGTTCAACATATTATCTAAGATTTTGCTGTTCCCTACAGGTATCGGATATATCTTTTGCTGACGGTGGACCCTCATAATGTCTGTGTTTGAAATAAGAGAGCGAGCTCATGTCTTCGTGGTGGTAACCATCTCAGGGATGTAATATTCAAATCTTAGATAATATGTTAAACTCTTTATATCAATTAGAGTGTTACATATATTTATTACCTACGTCATTTTTATCATCCAAGATACTTGCATTTAGAAGGTGTTCCATCATTATGGGATACCTTGTATTATTATACCATCAGTTATTTTAAGAATTTGTGTTGTTTTTGTTTAGCGGCATATCAACACATCTTTTTCTCCCCCGTCTATCCTCTTTCTTCTTTTTCTCCCCCGTCTATCGGCTTTTCTATCTTCTTTTTTTACCCTCGCCTATCGTCTTTTCTATCTTCTTTTTCTCCCCCGTCTATCGTCTTTTCTATCATCTTTTTCTCCACCCGTCTATCGTCTTTTCTATCTTCTTTTTTACCCCCGTCTATCGTTTTTTTCTACCAGGCTATCCTTTTTTCTTTTTCTTCCCCGTCTTTCTTTCTTTCTTTAAATCTAAATATTTTGTACGCAATTTTTTTTATATTTATTTTTTTATATATTTTGGAGATAATAATAGTTTAGTGATACAACCCACAGCTGGTAGGGGAGGAGGTGGGTTCATACCTTTTCCCAAGGGTATTTTCACGTAAGAAAATATAACGAACCCAACGAGAAGTGGAACTCGTTTCTCCGATTAATAATTCAGAGACATCATCCTTTAGACCACCCGCACGTCCAAGCTTACAGTACCTGGTATTCCCAAGCGGACACCCATCTAGGTACTGGCCAGGCTCAACGCTGCTTAACTTCCGTGATTGTACGGGAACCGGGGTTTCAACGTGATGTCGCCGTAAGCCGAAGTTTTAGAGAAGACCTCATATGAGAATATTTGTTTTGACTTCCGTTGTGGGGGAATTGATCACACTGTACAAGGCCAAAGAGCCACTCGAGGGAGAGGAAGAGGCATGCATGGTGATCATGCCACCAAGACGCAAGAAGTCACTGGAAGTGAAAGAAAAGGAAAAGATATTACAAGGAACCAGAAACCCAATCTTAGATAGGAAACAAGGGATAAACAAGCCCCTACTACTGTTCAAAAAGATTGGGGAGGAGTGTGAACCGAACAATACGGGAACAATTTATTATGAATTTACATAGTACAGTGCTCCTCCATCATATTAATATGTATAAAAAAATTTTTTTTTTAATATTCGTGATCTGTACAGCTTAATCTATAATAATATATATATATATATATATATATATATATATATATATATATATATATATATATATATATATATATATATAAATTCCGGTCGTAATGATTATTTGCCCACCTTTTATTATCTTTTCATTAACATACTTCTAGTTTGGTAAGTGCCAGGAGCTCCACTGAACGTTTTCTATTAAAATCAGTCAAACCCTCTTTGGATAGGGAAAAAGAAGAATTTTCTCCCTATCTGTCGTTGATTATCGCGTATGAGAAGCACAAGGATGATAAATTATTAGATAAAATGTCCGGTACTATGAGCGACACATACGCATTCTTCACAGGGCTATTTCTAATTGGCAGTAAAACCATTCTCCTGTGCAAACTGGAGAGGTAGTATTTTGCGCAAAATTTATTAAATTTAATCTGAAAGATGGGTTTCACCGTGTCAGATTTTTGAACAGGTGCACATTGCCTCAGGCGTTATTTTCTGTATATACGCCTCTGTAAATATTTGACGGTCTTCATTAGCACAAAACTTTATTTCTATAGCACCTTATGACGAGCAGGGTTGCCATATTGAGCTACAGGTAGCGAATTGAGCTTTGACTCTTCTTAGTAATCCAAATTAGTCAAGCTTATTTTTAAAAAGTAGCCCAAAAAGTTACAAATAGCAAAATTCAAAACTTATGTGACTAGGCTTTCAAATTTGGCCCAAACTTGTAACCCATGCACTTTCCAATCAATTTCCCTTTCTGTCCATATGAATTGTACTCCTGAGAATAGGTATTCATATAACATTGAATTCTATATTGAGTTTCTTTATACAGTTTATTTTTTCAGGTTCATGTCTATATCTTCATTAAATCCTATCAGGACACCTAGATTGGACTACAAATGGTGAATTAGACTACATTTCAAAGCCAAACACTTCTTCTTTATTTGCTGTGACTCATCAGGAGGTAGATGATCATGGCTCTCCTCAATTTCCTGTTCTTCGTAGCTCTTAATATATTTAGTCTTTCTGTTATTTCTCCTAAACCCTGTTCTGTCATCCATTTACTCAAGCTCTCTAAGTATGTTATGCATTGTTTCCTCTATCCCTCGGATTTTCCAAGCCATAGAAATATCAACTGTCTCTTCCTGATGTTCGGAATCCATCTTGCACATTTATAAATCTACCATTCATATTGAATACTGTCATCATATCTGGTCTGGTGTTCCTACTGTGCATCTCGAGATTCTTCACAAAATCCAATCCAATACAATCGATCCTAACGAGATATCTCGTCTCCAGTCCCTTTCTCAAGGACGTGATATGGCTTCCCTCTGCCTGTTCTACAAATATTTTTATAGTAACTGCTAGAAAGAATTTTTTCCTGGTGACCCTTCTACATGCATTTAAGCGTTCTACTAGATTGGCAACTAGGTCTCATCGCTTTATTGTTGAACTAGCTAGATGCAACTGTCATTTCTAATCTAACAGTTTTCTTTTCTCGCATTTCCCAACTGTGGAACTTCCCTCCGATTTCTTGCTACCCTGATAACTACAATCTTCAAAGATTTAAACGCAACGTCTATCGCCATCTTATATCTTCTTCAACCCTGTTCCTTTTTGTGTCTTTTCCTCAATCCTCCCCATTCTCAATCTTCTCATTCATTTTCACCACTCCCTGTAACCCTCTGCGTTCTAGAGGTACTTTCACCTTGCTTGGAGTGAAATGATTGAAAAAAAAAAAAGAAAAAAAAAAAAAAAGAAAAGAAAAAAGAAAAGAAAAAAGTTTCCTTTTTCTTTCCATTTTCTCTAAAATTTCGTCGTTGCTCACAAGTCCGATCCATATTTTGAATTGTCATTCTTCTTGTTCGTAATTCAAGTTAGACGAGTTTCATTGAGAAAGTAGCCGCAAGTCACAAACAAAGAAATTCAATATTTGTTCACACTGAGGTTTTCAAAAGTATCCCAATTCAGGGAACCAGAAAAAAACCTTGCCTATTAGATTGTCGTATATATTTTGAGTATATCCGTCTATATTTCTGAGATGAGGTATTATGTACATTATTTACATTATTCGGACTATTGTCCTCATCTTTGTCGCCATATTTATTACAATGTTTCGGCCTTTCAGTATCCGTCTATATTTCTGAGATGAGCTATTATGTACACTATTTACATTATTCGGACTATTGTCCTCATCTTTGTTGCCATATTTATTACAACGTTTCGGCTGTTCTACGCTCCAGACTTCTTCAGATGGTTGGAATGTCGAACTGAACCCTTTATTTCGCTCACTGGAGTAGACTGTTCTAGTTCCACATGCCAAGGAAACATGCCACAGTGGATAAAGGCGTTGGTTAGATCCAGTGACAGGACCCAAAGAGTGTGAGTTCAATACCCGGTTAAGGCAGTGGAGAACTTTCATAGGGGAAATTAACAGGAGATAACTGATAACTGGCATCCATTAAACATGGCACGTGGAACTAGAACAGTCTACCCCAGTGAGCTAAATAAAGGGTTAAGTTCGACATTCCAACCACCTGAAGAAGGCCGGAGCGTACAACGGCCGAAACGTTGTAATAAATATGGCGACAAAGATGAGAATAATAGTCCAAATGATGTAATAATGCATTTGAGTATAGTGAGAGTTTTTATGGGCAGTTTTTTTTTTACACATAAAAATAGTTTTTCGCACCATGTCCGGTGCAAAGGTCTTGTGGCCCCCACCCCCAATCTATGATACGCCTCCCCCAATCTATGATACGGCCCTGCACTCGACTACATCTCGATCTTCATAAGATTGTATTCCTATAAAATACAAATTTTATTGCAACCTAATTATGTAAAATAATGGATCAGATGCAATACAGGTGAACAATTCCATTAGAAAAAAAAAGAAAGAAATTATTTACAATGTATCTAAATGCAAATTAGACACGGGCCATAATAGATCATTCCATTTTCTAAAAAATGAGCAATGTTTTGTCATCATTTTTAAGATCAACACGAGATTTTTCTTGGTAAAAAGTTGAATAATTTTAAAACACATTGAACATTATGGGTAAAAAATAGTGAATTTTATATAGTTTTTTTTTTTTCGAGACAGCTGCTTCCTGATGTCACTTCATACAGTGACAAGAGTGGCCAGTCATTCATTTTGTTTATTCATTAGACTCGTGCTACATTCAGGTTTGAGTGGGTGTGCAGTTAAATACCTAGATGATCCTTTTGCTAATGATTTCTTTTAATGCCAATGCAAGGGTCTTGTAGCTTCCCCCGAAAATCTACTACATCTCAATTTTTATATGGTAGTATTCATATAAAATACAAATTTGATTGTAAACTAATTATGTACAATAATGGATAATATATGTTTATAATTCAAATAGAAAAATAAATACAATGTATCCATATAAAAATTAGAGGCATATTATCATGGATCATTACTCCTTAAATAAATCAGCAATGCTTTGCAGCAATTTTTAAAAGTTCAATAATTTTAACATGTTCAACATTATGGTTAAAAAAAAAATAGTTAATTTTACATAGTGTGTTTATTTTTTTATTTATTTATTTATTTTTTTTTCGAGACTTGGCATGATTAAAAGAAATTCACGGATTTGGATAAAAAAAAATGAAACTCCATAATGACACCAAAATCCGTAAACATTTTACATCCTTTAACAATCAGTTGTGCGTAATTAGTAATGTATACAAATATAGTTAGAAAAAAAACAAACAAATCTTAATAAGATAGCGAAGGTCACAAAGCATTGCTCGGGGCACCCAAGCAGGTTTGCCCCCTCCCGGTCGGAGGGTTCAGGGGGAGTACGCATTGGATCTGGGCCCCACTATACATAAGTCATTTTTTTGAAGAGGTTCAAAATTATGCATTTTCAGTGACCGGTTGCACTATACACAAGTAAAAAAAAAAATCCTGAAAGGGTTAAAATTCATATACTTTCAGTGACCGTAACCTAAATAATAGGTCTACATTCTCATAGTACTTTTGGCTAACCTTAACGATACAGATAAGTTCATTTTGACTGACGTACGTAGCCTAGATTCTTTCTTTCTGATGAAAGAACCGGAAATCCAATCCTAAACAGGAAACAAGCGATAAACCTCTCCACCTGTACAGAAGACCGAAAGGATTATGAAATGGGAGATAAGGTGAACGTATCTCTTCGTATTTGCTTAATTTTTATGCTTAGCTCTAATAAATAGAAAAGAAAGTGACTAAAAGAGTAGAATTGGTACAATTCTTGAATACAGTAATTAACTTATTTTTGTTTAGTTTTAATTTTTGGGTTTTTTTTTAATTTTTTAGTTGCTTAAGCCACTATGGAGTCATTAGTTAAGTCGCAAAAGAATTATTCACATTTGAGTCCATTACTTATTAAAAATAGTATATTATCTAACAGTTAACTGTAGCTCATTGTAAATGTAACAGTTATAAACCAGTAAGCGTGTGCTGGTTCAAATCTACAAATACTTTATATAAATAAAGAATTAACAATGTTTTTTGTGTTTTTTTTTTTACTTTCTTCAATTGGCGTTTATCGCACCTTTTTACATCGCTGAGGTATTGCTTTTCCAACGGCACCCCATTTGTCTGATATATACCGTACCGTATATGTTTTAGT